ATTATCCCTATATAACTCCAATACAATAGGGGCCTACATTAGACCCCTATTATATTGGGGTAATATTAGGATAATGGAGAATGAAATGGAAAAGAAAATGGAAATGAAATGGAAACCCCAGGTCCTTTTAAGGGGTATATAGGAATTAGGGTTGGGCTGAATGGGCTGAAGATCGTCATCATTATCCTCATCCTCACCACCATGGCACAACAGTCACGCGTTCAGGGTCGTCAAAACCATTCATAGCGTGAGCGAACCACTTGGAAAACTGCCAGAGCAGCCATCCAAAGAAAATGTAATTGACCTCATGGGTCATGAAACCCTGAACCCGAGATAGTAGTTTCCATGTTATTTTCCATCATCCTTATATAAGCCCTATATAACCCCAATATACGCCACAATTGTGGGAACTGGCATCCCATGGTCAGGTGCTGCAACAACTACGGCTTGCCGCTCAGCACCTGATCCGTGCGAAAACCCTTGAAATTGTAAATTGATTCATTGATTGACCGTGGGTCTTTCCTGACCCTTGCGTGTTGCAAGGCGGACGCCATGGAATTCATAGCACAAGTATGGGTTCCCTTCCGAAACGAATATCACCAGGCAGTTCATCCCATTGGAGGAGGGGGCTGAGAGTAACGGCATAAAAGCAGCAGCCAACAGTGGCGACCGCAACTGCTTCACCGACAGCAACACCCAACAAAGCCCAGCACAACTGGTACCACCTCCACCTCGAGAGAAAAAAACAAAAGCCTATGTTCTATAACAGTATCATTCCTGCCACCATAGGACAACCACTCTGTGGTTGTACAAGGGTAAAACAGTCTAGGCCCTGTCTGTCACTCCACACTCTGAAGGCTACATGCTTCGTCCAGCTATGAAAATCGGCCTCCACGCTTTCACGCGCGTCGCGCATGAGGTTTCGGTCGTTTTCTCGCTCGGCCTGCAAACTGCTACACGCAGCAGCAGCGGCTTGCTGCTGTCCAAGAAAAGCAATCTTGACATGTCTCATAACAAGCGGTCTTCTGAGCAGTAAGAACATCGAACCGACTTTTCCTGGCAAATCAATCCGTCTCTCCACGTCCAGAACCCAACACCCACAACACCTCCTACCGCATCCAGCAGATGGCAGCGGCAGCGCCCATGCCCCAGTACCCCAAACCCTAAGACCCAAAATAGTAGTCTCCCTTTTCTTTTCCATTATCCTAATATAACCCCTTGATTACATATACATATATGTGCCCCATTATGTAACCCCAATATACCCTACATGCATGCATCATCTGTCTGTGCACATGCGACACTGCTTCATCTGCCAGGCTATGTACAGAACAACCTCCTCACTTAGAAAGAGCAGTCCGGGCGGCCATGTTAGCCTGACAGCAGGAAGGCGTGCCTACGATACGTCTGCCTCAAGCCTCAAAGGCAAAGCCAACTTGGACCTCCTTTCGGTTGCCATTGGAAGCACTGCGCATCTGGGGTCCCATCTGCTGCAACCACCGTTGAACCTGTCGATTAAGCACGGCATACAGACGGTTCAAGGGTCACTTAGCCAACAAAAGCACGGGTCACTTAGCCGATTCGGATCCCGCACAGCTTCGGGTCACTTAGCCAACAAAAGCGAAGGTCACTTGCCCATTGGGGGTTTTGGATTGAGATTTGGACTGAGGGTTTAGGGTCTAGGGGTTTTGGAATTAAGGTTTAGGATGTAGGGGTTTGGGATTTAGGGTTTAGATTTGCGGGGTTTAGGATTCAGGGTTTAGGGGTTTTGGATTTGGGGTATAGGGATGAAGGGGTTTTGGATTTCGGGTTTAGGGGGTTTGGATTCAGGGTTTAGGGGTTTTGGATTTGGGGTTTAGGATTTAGGGGTTTTGGATTTAGGGTTTAGGGTGGGTTTAGGGTTTAGGGCTTAGGGGTTTTGGATTTAGTCTTTAGGGTTTGGGGATTTTGGATTTAGTGTGCACGTTATGCGCCCTTAACGCCTAGCCCTAAACCCTAAGCCCGGTGCCTCCAAGCATTGATCATCTTGCGACACTCCCATTTCATCCGCTGGGATGTTTGGCTTAAGAACTACAAGACTACATGCATGCTCTCTTCCTGGGTCATGCTATGGCTCTTACTCTTACTATGCAGTTACTCTTGCTGCAGACAAGCGGGCTAAAAATGGCGTGCCAAGCGACCCACAAAAACGTTTGCAAAGCGGCCCCGAAAAATGTTGGCTAAGCGACCCCTTGACCGTACAGTTTATGCCATACAGTACATCTGCCAACCTCAATTTGTTTGCAGAGGACCTGCATGCCAGCCTCTGAACACCCAAGCTTGCTCGACTTGCACGGCCTGAACACTTCCAGAAAGCATATCACAAACCTCAAACCTGTAGAGTGGTCGAAAAGATGCCATCTCAAATCCTGCCCTCACGGAAGACCACCATGTAGGCCCGTGTAGACATGTACGGAGAACCCTATTCCACTTAGATGCCACCCAATACTCAAGATGAGTTGGTCCTGGTGGCCCCAGCGCTTGCCCAGCTGGCGCCGCGTAGCGAGCAAAGCCACGCGACCGGAGCTCCTTCCAGTTGCACAATGCATCGTCCTAATCGAACTACATGGATCTTGCTGCAGGTAACCAAAGCTTTGCCACTTCCATTAGTTGCGGCGGTAATCTGCACTGCATGCTGCCATTTGCGCTGTAAGCTTGTACTTGCCTCGTCTTTGCCGAGCTCTTCGCCGACAAAGATGTAGCACAAGCCCTACCATCCAAAGATGCCATTTCAGCAAACACTCACTTCGGGGGAAATCCTCAAAATCCTTCATATATGGTTGAAGTCTGAAAGTTTGAAACTCTCCAACTGGCATTGCGTGACAATCAAGCTAGAATTTCAATGAACATGAGCACTGGAAGCTCTTTCAAAATGTACGCGCGTGAATGATCAAGATGATTAAGTACGTTGAAATGTAGACAGGATAAAGGTTTCCAGAATGCTCGAAAACGCCTCGCGCAACGCCACAAGAACGCCTCGAGAATGCTTCCGGAGGGCTTCAAGAGAGCGCCTTGAGACTACCTCGAAAACGCCTGAGACATAGCATATATTGGGGTTATATATAGGGATAATGGAACAGAAAACGGATACTACTATATAGTATTATTGGGGTTATATAGATGGATTATGGAAGATAAAATGGATACTACTATGTAGTGTATTGGGGTTATATATGTTTCAGCAACTCCTAGGACAGGGCGTAAACCTTTTCTGGGGAACCCCAAAATGTGGCCTCGTAGCCTGCACGCCTGGTAGCATGGGATTTCCAACTTCCGTCGTGACAGCAATGAATTTTCCCGCCAGCAGAAAGGTTGCCTCGGGGGAAGTCCTCTATCATGCTCAGTTACGAATGTGGAGAGCGAGCTGTGAACAGCACCGATTGAACATTATTGAAGATGATTGCACATGATTGAACACAAGCTATAGTCTAAACTCCTAGCATCCCCCTTAATAAGCCCTACAGTCCCTACAGTAGTCCCCTATATAATCCCCTATATAATCCCCTTTAAGGAGATTAGAATATAGCGGCTAACAGGATTTTCACGTGGCTTCGAGCGTTGCCCGCCTGATACCGCCCTTTGGGAGTTACAGCGATGCCTGCGCATGCACCTGTGCTCGAGCTGGATCTTCAGAAAAACCGCGCACCCAAGCTGCTGCAGAGACGTCAAATGGGGGTTTTCAAAATTGGGGGGGTCCCCTTAAGAGGATAACTGTATTTTGGGTCAGGGACCCTATTTTGGGAAACTACCAAAGAGCTCTCAACACACACTCATTGGACCTACTGCGATGCTTTTGCGAAAACATCTCTGAAAGACGTGTTGTCTGGACGTGGACATGTCGATGAGTATGGTTTGCCAAGAACTTGTTCAGCTAATCGTTCGGCTAAGCTGGCGTAGCCTGGAGGCAAGGAGAAACACTCCCAAGCGGCGTCGTCCATTGTGCATCCTCCAGGCATCGCAAGCACTTTAGATGCAGCCTGATGGTGGTCAACACCTTCAGTCGCAGTCGTCTATAAACTGCTTCCACTTTACACTGAAACGCCGGCTGAGCATGCAGTCCTTTAGCAGGGCCACTTGTCTTAAAGATCCTCTTTTTTCGAAGCATGCTCTTTTTTTTCAGGCAAGCCTGGGTTTGCAAACATGCTTACTGATAAATCACCGAACTCCCCGTTGCTTTCCCCAGGTAGCTGGAAAGCACCAAACCTGGCTCTAGATTGCATGAAACAAACGGCCTGCTGCCTTTGCAATCCTGTAGCAAGTTCAACGAAGATCTCAGTCCAAATTAGCAACCTGATGTAACTTGGAACCCGATCTGCTCCCATCTGCTCCTAGCTTCTGAAGGCCAGCAAGACGCCGACCCTCGGCATCGATACAATCACCTGTTGCCATGTGTTCGCAGACACCTTTCAAGCAGCAAGCCGCACCCCAGAAGCCGCAATCCCAATTCGATCCTTGGCCCTACACTATTATAGGGTTATATATGCGTTATATAAGTGTCATATAGGCGTTATATAGGGATTATATAGGGGTTATAGGGTTTTGGAAAGATGTAGACTGTCTTCCGAAGGAAACCCGTGGCAGAACGGCCTTCTCCCACATAGTCGAGTACACCTGAACGGGATGAATAAATTGCTGCTTGTGGTTCTATTGGGGTTATAGGGGGGGTTATATTGGGGTTATATTATGTTGGGGTAATGGAAAATAAAATGGAAACTACGATTAAGGGTTTAGGGTTTAGGGTTCCTGTCCTCTTCCACTTGCAAGGAGCCAAGGGATAAAGGTTGTTCATGTGGGTCGGGGTTGGCCTGAAAGGAGAAAGATCGGCATATCAAGATGAATGGCTGGAATCTCCTATGGCTATATGAGGTGCCCATCCAATGTTTATACTTATAGTCCACCTTAAGTAGATAGAATATGGGTTATATGGGGATCCTATTATAACATACCCAAAGCCATATTCTATCTACTTAAGGGGGACCATAAGTTCTGATTGGGCTTAGTCTGTAAGCAGCGTACTCCTAGTTCCACGTTGGACTGTGTTAGACTGTTAGACTCTCCCCGCTGGGATAAGGCTCACGCTTGGGATTTGTCCTGTTCCTATCTGCTGCAGACCAGAAAACCTCAATCCAGCGGCCTTCGCTTTCAGGCTGCTCTGCGACGTAAACCGCTGGCTCTGACGCGACCAGGAGGTATCTCTGCTGGGAAAGGATGTCCTGCCAAGCATCAAGGTTACCTTCTGACCAACATACTACATTGTTACTATTGGTACTATTCTGCTAATTATGATTAGTATCGATATTATTATTATTGTTACTGCTCTTATTACTACTATCGTTAATATTCAATTATTATCAGCCATTACTTCAGATGGCCTACCAGGTTGCTCAAACCCATCATGCTTTTGTCCCACACCTTGCATCGCTGCTGAAGTCGAAGCCGACATTGCACGGCAGTCCATCATGGGTTGCTACTTGTAGAACATAACCCTAAAACCCTAGACCCTAAACCCAACCCAGCCTGTGAAGGCCCGCAGCCCTTCCCCTTCACCCTACCTAGCCACTTCCCCACCTTTTCAAGCCCTCCTCCATTTTTTTCTCCCACCCATTCCTTACTGCCTCTCTTAGCCGCACAACCGTTCAACCCTAAACCCTAAACCCTAAACCCCTGACAAGTTTTGGAAAGACAAATGAAGCCGTTTTTGCTGCAGAAGTGAAGTAAGGCCCTGCCTGACCGATGAGAGCAGCAGGCTTCAGCGGCTTGGGACCAAGGCCGAAAGGCCAAGAGCCTCGTCGGCTTTGGGTTTAGGGTTTAGGGATTAGGGTTTAGGGTTTAGGGTTTAGGGCTTGGGGTTTAGGGCTTAGGGTTTAGGGCTTAGGGGCTGCACACGCTGTTCCATGGGATTATGTGGGATGTATTGGAGTTGTATTGGGATAATGGAAAATAAGATGGAAACTCCTATGTTATATACGGTTATATGAGGGTAATATCGGGGTTATGAAAAGCTTCGAAACAAAGTCCAACTCACTGAAAGATCTAGGTGTCCATGTTTCTTCTCTGCATGCCCCAAGCAATTGATGCACATGCTTCTTCTGCCTGACTCCTCTCGGCCGAAGATATCAGCAAAGACCTTGGCAGCATGCCAGGGCTCCCGTTATGCCCATCAGACAACAAGTGTCTTGAAGCCTTGCATTGCATAGGGAGTGAGAAGCCCTGCTTGTCCAAGCGAGTTCAGCAGCAAGAGCCAGCGCTGGCAAACCGCAAGTTGCTCAAGCATGTTCAAGGGTTGAAACAGCTGCCTGCTCTCTCACAATCAACGAAAATTATCGGAGCGTCCAGCGGAGCATCAGGAACCTTTGAGCTTTGACCCCAGGCAGCTGTCTACGACACGCCCGCCTCTGCATCGCCGAGTGCAACTCGAACGGCTTGGGGAGCAACATGGTCACCTTGACGGTAGAATCGCTCGGTCCCCCGGAAACCGGAAACTTGCTCAAGCTAGCAATGCTTTCTATAGAGTACGTGAGGTTTACGATTGTACGTCTTACCACCCTCACCCAAGTGATCTTGCCACAGCACTCTGTATGGAACATGACCGAAGTGTGAGAGTGCTCGGAAGCTGGATCGGCTTTCCTGTTTTTACAAGCCCTGCTGAAGCTGCATGGCTTGATGCAGCGGCGTGGCTGGCGAAAGCAGCAAGCGCTGCAACAGTTTGATAGGGTGCTTCGGCTACCATCCCAAGTAGCAAACTCATGTCTACCGCATGTTTGCAGAAACGTTGCATCGCCTGAAGAATGGGACCTCTGAGGCCTGGGGACATGGCCCTCTGCCACCAAGCCGATGGAAAATCGAAGCAGTGGCATGTCGATGGCACCCCCACCCACCTCAAGGCAATTTGCAGTCTGCCTTTTACCAATTCGAAAACTCTGCCTCTTACCAATGCAAAAACACCATCTGCAACTTCACATCGAAGCACTGCACAACAGCATCCTCTGTTGCTAGGCGCGTGTCCCCGATTGCGCGAATGCGCGGTGCATCACCTTAAGAGATGGCTGGCCAAACTTAGTCTCTGCACATGGCCCAAGTGAGCTCAATTGTCTCGAATCGTAACATGGCAGGTACAACGAGCCTCCATGTGCCCTGCAATCTCCACGGCACAATCCGCAACCATCATTCAGACAAGGCACGTACCACTTTGTCTCCAGGACGAAGTCCGAACAACAGCTCCGCCGCGGGCCAATTAACCACCTACAGCTTCAAACCCTGGAGTAAGAGGCAAGCCAAACTGACTGTAGCATAGGCAGGACGCAAACCAACAATGCAAACTACAGAGGGGAGGATGATGCCCATACATCGAACTCTAGCAACAATGAACAAGAGATGACATCTTCAGCTACTCGCAGTTCAACCAATGCAGCACCGTCTTGTCGGCTACTATCATGCCAAAGCGGAAAGAGATCTGCAGTTGCGCAGCAAGCCGGCACCGTGGGTACAAGAACCTCCGACCGCGGAATCGCAGAGCAGAAACATGCACCGCATCCAAACCGAGTGAAGCCCACCAGGTGCAACAGGCAGAAAGCAGGCGCTTGCGGACGTAGCACCTCCTACAAACATTGCTACGGAAGACGCGCAGAACATCATCAATGGAACAGCAACTATGGCAGTTAGGACAGTTCAAGGAGTGTACCGTAAGTGGTTGAGGCCATAGATGGTGAAGTTTGAAGCCTCTTGGCAACTCTTTGTGCAACCTTGGCGCTGAGTTGGCTGAGCCCGTGTCGACCAAAGCGGGCACCGACTGTGACACGCTGCTGAAGCCTCTGCAGGTGTGCATACACCAGCTTTCTTCACAGTTTGTCTAGGCTCTCCAGCAGGGACTCTAGCCGCTTGGTGAGCCTCACAAGCGACGTAGGCTATAGATTCCAATGGAGAAGCTACTGAAACGATTCCACGTTGATTCATCATCCACTGCCGCAAACATATCAGCTGATGTATGATTTGCTTACTTCTCTGCCGCAGCTCAGACCCTCGAATACAACTACGACATGCCAAAAAGGAATTTCGAAAAGTCACAACCATTGCTATTCGGCCGCCTTCCCGCTCAAGCAGCTTTCAAAGACAGTGCAGAGTCTACACGACCCAACCAACTGCCAACCACTCTCCAGCCTCTTGTCTGAGGTGTGTGAAGTAGCTCTACCTGAAGAGGCCAATCTCACTCAGCACACTGCACGCGTTGCACATGGCAATTGCAAATGACAGGATATGCTGCAGCTGTATGAGAGCATTTCAGTGCTTTGCCATGGCAGCTTCGATGACCGTTTTGCAACTCTGAACTAGTTTGCAACAACTGCAGAGACTGCTGCGGAATAGTACCGCCTGCATTATTTTCAGAGGTGCCCGCTTGCAGCCCTGCTAACATTGCTGCAAAGAGGGTGATCGGCGAGCCATCCAGTTCAAGTGCAACGTTGCGCCAGGGCAAGAAAGGGTGTGATGAAGAAAATACCGTCATGGCAGTTCAGCTACAGCGCTGCCGGGCAAAGAATTGTCCCATTCTGTGCACACTGTGAACCTGCAGGCTGGTGCTCCAGCATGATCACTGAAGATTTATAGGGTATTGCCATATGCTGCCTTGACGGAATTTGCCTGGCAAGGACATCTTGATCCTGCTTCCTGAGGTGAATCCTTGTGGGTTTGATCAATACCCAGAATTCTTTGCATCGAACGCGCCTGCTTTTACCTCCAAAATACCATTCCGGACTCCTCCCCTTGATCACTGTCTAGCGTGTCACGCATTGTTCTACTGCCATTCCGTGTGACATACTGTTTGAAACAATTCGCTCATGTATGAGTTCCGTGTCACGTTTGTCTGCAGTTGCCGCTGCCATGGGTGCTCTTCTGGGCGGGTCTTTGACATGCTTTGGCACATTTTTCATTGCTTAATCTGGGCTCTTGCATCTGAAATTCTGCTGAATCGTTTCTCTGCGTTGTTGACACTCGTCTCCAACTTTCTTGAACTGCGAAACTTCAATCGGGTAGCAACGGGTTGCACTCCATCTTTGTGGTCGCTGACCTGGATTATGCAGGCCAGCATAGCAAGAAAGCCTTTGCCATGCGAGCCCACACGCATTGCACCGTGACAGGGCTTGTGATTTGGAAGTCCGCTTGGGTATTTTCATCTGCCTGTTGCCCACTTCCGAGTCCTTCACTGCCGTGAAAAGTGTAGCTTTGCTGGTCATCATATGCACGGGTCATTCTTACAACCCACAGGGTGCTGCCCTCATGGATCATCCGTTCTGGAGGATACCTCACCACTACCCCCTAAACCCTGAACCCTAAACCCTAAACCTTCCTCTTGACGATCTTCATCAACTTAAATGCTGGAGAGAAAACGGCAGCAAACACGTAGCGGTGAAGTGTGACCTATGGTCCCCCTTAAGTCGATAGAATTTGGGATATATGGGTATCTAATTATAATATACCCAACGCCATATTCTATCTACTCAAGGGGGGCTATAGCCCTAAACCCTAAATCCTAAACCCTGTATTCTATCTACTGAAGGAGGACTATGCGCATTTTCAGCCTTTTCCTCTGGGTTGTCGCTGGGCTTCGGGCCCCCAACAGGCGTGAAGGCAAGGCCAGGCCAGGGATCCGCCGGAGCCCGCCCTCAGCATCTATGGGGGCTATATAGGGATTACACAGGGTTTATAATAGGGTTACATGGGGGCTCTATGGGATTTATATAGGGTTTTAATAGAGGTTATATAGAGTTGTAGAGCCTTCTATACGGGTTATGTAGGGTTATAAAGGGGTTATATTCTCATCCCGAAATAAGATGAAATCAAGCTGCTTTGCTCTTTTGCGAAAAGGTCTGCTGCGCTGTATTTCGCTCAAGATAGTAATACTCGCAACAATAGAGATAATAGTAATAATAATCATGACAGCAGTAGCAATAATAATAGCAGTAATCGCAATAATAGCAATAACACTAAGCCCTAAACCCTAAGCCCCAGACCCTAAATCCTAAGCCCTAAACCCTAAGCCCTAAACCCTAAACCCTGAGCCCTAAACCCTGAACCCAATAGTCATTGCAACAGCCTGGCTGTGCCTGCGAGGCGAGCTCCTGAGAGTCAGCTGGGTCTCGGATGGTAAGACGCCGCATCTGCGAGAGGATATATAGGGGGTTTAGGGCTTGGGGTTTAGGGCTTTGAGTTTAGGGCTTAGGGTTTAGGGCTTAGGGTTTAGGGCTTAGGGTTTAGGGCTTAGGGTTTAGGGCTTAGTGCTTAGGGCTTAGGGCTTGGGGTTACGGTTTAGGGTGCTCCAAGTCCTTGAAGGTCCAGGCCTGACCTTCAGAGCCTTTCAGGTGGGTGCTACTTGAAGTAACATGCCCATCCTACGAAAAGCACGTGGAACGGCACAATCCAAGGCTTCAAAAAGACGTATGTCGTTCTGGGTCTAGATTCAAGCACTACTGAGCTAGTGGTGCGCTGCCAGCCTCTGGATCCACGTCAACGGCAAAGTCCTACATGTGGGTGGTTGTCAAAATTATGGTCCCCTTTTGGATCCCTATTATAATACGGCACCTAGTATTTAGGGCACCCAAAAAGGGACGATAATTTTGACAACCACCCATGTTCATGCAACAGCGTCACTCTCCGCATTCGCTGCAAACTTGACAGCTGAGACCCCAATTACCATCTCGCAACTTGAGCATATAAAAGTATTTTCGCTGGCTGATCACATGATCGGTAGGACACGCAAGCTAGCTTCTGTGAGCGGTGATCGCGGAAACCTCGACAGTTCCCAAAATTAGGGGTACCTTTTTGGGGGCCCCAAGCATAAGGACTATAGTACATTGGGGTCTCTTTCTTGGGGGGCCCCAAGAATCAGGACTATAGTATATTGGGGTCTCTTTTTGGGAGGCCCCAAGAATAAGGACTATAGTATATTGGGGTCTTTATTGGGATTCCCCTATTTTGGGAAACTACCACATGCAACACAGGCCTGATGCAGAGGGAGCTGGCCCAACATCCCATCGAGTTTGATGTCCTCGTGCGCAGACGGGCCAGGCTTTTGCAAGATCTATTAGGGTTATGTTGGGTTTATACTGGGATAATGGAAAAGAAAATGGAAACTACTACATTATAATAGGGTAAATATTGGGGTTGTATGGGTACAATGGAAAACAAAATGGAAACTACTATACTATGTTATCTTGTGGTTATATTGGGATAATGGAAAATAAAATGGATATACTACTATACTATCACAGCTTTCACTTGCAGAGTAGCATCCAGATGTCAAGTGCTGGCTACGGACCGAATCTGCAATCACACCAAACATTTCGTCAAATGCTGGCTGTTTTGGAAGCTTAAAGGCATCATTGTGTCCGGGGATGATTTACCCTGTGCAATGCTGCAAAATGGCTAGCTAGCTGTCTTCTCACCTCTGATATATCTTGCAGAGAAGTTGCACGAAGATCAATCATACAAAAGACGCGCGTGCGCGCGTCAAAAGCTCCTGCAAAGTCTTCTGAGCTCTGGACCTGTTGCTGTGCAATGGCCGCCTTCCCGCAAGGCTTGGCACCATGCAGGGACACACGTTTGTTTGCCCAATTTTCAAATCATACGTAGAGCAAGGGCTCCGGAAGTTTACTTGAGCGGCTGCTCAGCCTCATATGGAACCGAATGTTATCCAAGCTTGCACAGCCTAAAAAGACTTGGGGTCCTGGGCAAAGTCCACACATGTCGCGTGGAGGGGCCCCGGCCTGGGCGCATCCAGAAAGCAGCATTGAAAACAGACATGCCGCTTGAACACTAGTTCACACTTCCCTGACCCCTCAATGCACAACTCAAAAAGACCACAAATTCTGCCAGAACCAAAGGTTGCTACAGCATCTAGCTACGTACTCCAGGAAGAAAACAAAACACACGGGACATCCAGAAATTAAGTCATGCGAATCCATGCTGTATCTGTATTGAAAACATGCGGCTCCCTGCTCATCTAAGCAGCAGTGGCAGAGAAGGCCGCAGCTTTTGGCGCTTCAGCCTGGCACCATGGCACTACAACATGCAGTTCGTGACCATGGCATAGTTTCTACTGGCGATGAGCGTTTGAGGCCTCGCATGAAGAATTAAACTTCCTGAAGCTAAGCAAACAGGTCTGCCTCATGCCGCTGGAAGCTTCAAACAGCTCGTTGCCCTCCTCTCGGAAGTCGTATCTTTCTGTGGTCGAAAGCACGCCTGTTGAGCCAAGCTCAACATGGTCTAGTAAGCGACCAGACAAGCAAGTTTCTCTCAACTCTGCAATGGCCTTTGGGCTCTACAGAAATGCCTCGGCCAGTAAAAGCATCTGCCTCAGCTCCGTTTAGTCAGCAGCAAGCACGGGTCAAGCAAAATTGAAACAATGAAAGAAACAAGCTCTCCGCATGAGTCTCCTGCCTCCAGCTCGCCAACAACAGTTTCTGTGCCTCTGGACGAGAAGCCACTGAGAAATTTCCTCCAAGACCATAGAAGGTGGTCTTTTGTCCCCTTCAGCCTCGCCATCCCACCATCTGTAGCTGCGACTCCGTCATCTTCTCGGAGGGCAATACTTCGTAGTTGATCTCGGGATGCCCATCAGAAAGCTTGGCTTTAAGCTGGTACTCCTATCTCTTTGCCTGCGCCTGGACATCTTTGGACGAGGCCGCAGCGGCCTGATGGGCAAACCATGCTCAAGCAGCTCCCTCTAAGAACTGAATGCTCTGTTTGAACTGTTGAAAGCACAAGAGAGCTCCGAGAGTCGCGACCTTCCAGGCATCCCAGTCAAGGGTGCACCAGGCGCGCCAACCACCCCCCTGCCATAGGCCTGCAGCAAAATCAAGAACAGTGCTCAACAGGAAATTGTGGCAGGCACATAACTGCAAAGACGTTCAGACATTGAGATTGAAAGCCGCGAGCCGTCTACATTGATCGCATGCGTATAATTTTTGGTCTCCTTCAAACCCCCTCCCTCCAGAACAGGTGGGGCTTGCATGCCTCCATAGCCATCCTGCGCGGGGGAACCCAACAGCTCCAGTCCCGGGAGCTGTGTTGACCTGGAGTCAAGTCCATTCAAGTCCCGCAAAAAGCAAGAACATCCAGCAATGCAATCCGAGCGCAAGTGCAAGTTGCTAAAGGTGAGCCTCAGCTTCTGCACAGAACCGCCCAGCCTTGGATGTGCGAGAAGGTTACCACAAAGCGAAGGCCTATGACTAACATGTTGGTTGTTATAGTCTATAACTAGGTCCGAGACACGCGGTGGCAGGCAGAGTCTCTAGCTCTGCTTCCAGGCCCAAGCGTTCCAGGAATGCTGGGGACCTCGTCAAGTCGGTTTAGAGGCTCAATATCTTCAATGACAGTGACAGTGCTACTTTGTAGCAGCAACATGTTACTTCATAGAAAAAACGCAACATTAATTCTCCTCGGCCCTGCCGAAAAGCGTTCAGACAAACACACCCTGCTGAATCAGACAAACACACCGCTTTCCTTCGTTTTGGGCCAAGAATTCTGCGGTTGGTAGCCGCTTCTGCATTTCCGCACATGCAATCTGTCGCCTGGGGCAATGCATGTGCAGCAGCGCGGGTCTCTGCAACGTGTGCAAACGAACCCGCCCCGTGCTGGAGCAACTGCATATCTTATGAGGCTATAAGGTGGGTGCCTGTCTTCGCAGCACGATGTCCAAATGGGTGGTGCCTGGTAACTCCCCTGGCCTGCATGCGACGGCGATACCGGCGGCGGCAGTGCGTCGGGACAAAAGCGCCGTGAAGAACGCCATGTCTGATCAAAGCACTACCTACAAGCAGAAAGTGTATGTGTACTGGGCGGTCCGCCCTTGCAGGAGGCGAGGCCCCGAGCCGAAGACACTATTACGCCACACTGTCAAGCGCAACGTAGCCAAAGCTGCGGATGCCACACCGAGGCGAAACGTCAGAACGTCGACGGTGAAGACGCCCATCACTGGGTGGCCTCCTTGAAGCTCGGATGCTGCTCATCACGAGCTGGTTGGACTGACACCATTTGGGGCACTTCTCCTCCTCGCGCGACCTTTTCCTGCACCGGGCGCAAAAGAATGTGGGCGCGACTCGCGCGCCATGCAAGGACACCTGCCCCGCCCCATGCACTTCAGCCCGACTTCGCCAGGCGGTCCATCGCCTATGCAACGTCCGCGAGGACACCATGCTCCAGGCGAGGCAAGTTCAAGCCTGGAACACCACCGGGGCATACACCCGCGAGCCCGTGCTCAACATGCCACGAAGCAGCTTAGCCATCCCGCTTTGCGGGATGCCGTCAGTGCGCAAAAATTGATCGGAGCAAACGAGTACTGCCTCCCGCCCGCCTCGGAGAGGCCAGTTATCTCTTGATCAGCGGTGGCGGTATCAGCGCCCAGGAAGCTGATAAGAACGCCTTGGCCACGAGTTCTGCCTGCTCCGCGGCGGACTGCTCCTAGAGCGATCGCTCCACATGGCTTGCCCACCAACATGGTGTCGGAGACTGCGTTCGATCCGCCTGAGCAGCGTTCCGCCTTTGACGCGCAGAGTGCGCCTTTTTGGGCGGGATGATCTTGGACGACCCGCGCGCCCCGCGCAACACGCCGTACGACAAGTGCTTGGACAGGCGCGCATCAGTTGGGCGAATGGCCGGTGTTGTCGACAGAGCAGCCGTAGAAGGTAAGGTTGAGCCAGCCGCCAGACGCAGCGCTGCCCATAATACCGCGCGCTGATCCAGGACCCGTCGCCTTCATCTCCCGACAACGTCGGCGTGGCGGTCTCATGCTGTGCCCTACGCAAGTGCAAGAAGTCCCGCTTGCTGAGCCGGGACAGCGCCACACTACAGGCGGTGCCAGCTCCAGCAAGGGAGCGGAGCGTAAGTCGACAAAACCGCCAAAGCTCAAAGGCGGTGGCAGTCGTAGAGCAAATGGACGGCTGCGGGGACCGCCCACTTGCTCAACGTTTCAACGCACTGGAATGGGCTAACACATGAAATTGAGGCCACACGAGCGTACCTTTCCGTAAACCCAGACATCCCTTATGCAGACACCCTCTGCACTGCTCTAAAGGCACCGCTGAACCCCAAATATCCCTTGCCCATACTCCCTAGCAACCAATCTAAAAGCACCCCAAGACCCTAAATATCCCTTGCCCATACCCCCTATGCACCTCTATAAATGACCCCTAAAACCTTCATGTTACTTGTCCACACCTCGTACATATCCCTTGCCCACCATCCCCCACAAAACCCTCCCTTACATGACTGTCCACCATTTGCTTCCTCAAAGTGCCTCGCATAGACGGGCCCAGGCAGATGTGCGGCAATTGCATTTAGGGCTAGCTTAAGGTCTGCGTGCGGGTGGTTGTCAAAGTTATGGTCCCTTCTTGCGTACCCTAAATATTAGGTGCCGTATTGTAATCCGGATCCAAAAAGGGACCACAGTTTTGACAACCACCCATGTGACTGTTCCAACCAAGATTCTCAGACTGCAATCAAGCTACACAAGATTTGTCGTCAGGCCGCTGTCCAGCATGAACGTGGCCTGGTGCTCACTCGCGTTGGCCGACACACGGTGGGTTTTTTTTTTCCAAGGTTTGGC